ACATTTATATATTTATATATATATATATATATATATATATCTATATATTCTATATATGTAGGTATATATTTTCATTTGGCTTTCCCTTTGGATCATTCGCACACACAACAAATGGCAAAGTTGTTGGGCTTGTAGATAATTTACACAGTTAAATAGATAAATAGTTGAATGCATGTTCAGTATGTACATATATACATTTCAAGTTTGTATATATGTATGTACACATACATATATACAAATATGTCTCTTCTCACGTAGCCATAGACTTTTGTAAATTTCCTCAAATTGTTCGCTTAATTCTTTGGCTACGCTCATCATCCACTGTTGAAGACAGCACCTTTCGCTATTAACCAACACTGAATGTGTCAGCGGGCAGCTCAGTATGCCAGCAGCTATACATTTTTACTTTGCTCGCTTCTCAACACTGCAAGAGAAAAAGCAAACTAAGCCAAGCAATTAACTAATTGAAGTCATTCATTGTTTAGTTCGCTTACACTGGACTTTTAAACGTTTACCAATACTGTACATTTTAAGTATTGCCATCTGTTGCCACACTCAAAGTTTGTTGCATTGAAAGCAGCTCTACGCACTAAATAGTTGGAGCTCTTGAACTTTTAGCTAGACTGCAGATTGAGTGCTTTACCAACACTGAACATGCATCGCCTCGAATATTTTTCAGCATATAACTTGAATTTAGAGCTGTTATGGGTGTCCAGCTTGTCATTTGCCCACATTCAAAATGTGTTCTTTGCCTAATTTTCCAACACATGAACCATGAACCTTAACAGAATCTTCAATCATTTTATACGAGTATTCCTATGCAACTTTTTGAACTACCTCTTAGCTGTTCTATGCCTCATTCATAGCCATTTGCCAACACTAATAACACAAAACAGCACCGTCAATGAGTCATAATCTAAATCTGTTCTTAACTACCCATTCTAGCCCTCGATTGTCGTCATTTGCCAACACTCTAAATATCTTATTTATAGAATTTCCCAACACTAACACATGATTCATATATAGAATTCTATATCAATATTTAATTTATTATATTTACCAGTTTAGCCATCTGACAACACACAAAATACCCTATTTATTACATTTTCCAACACTAATACGGGATGCATAAGCCCAAATTTGCAATCAAATTCGAACGAACTACCTCAACTACTTCTTAGCCACTCTAGCCCTGTATCTTAGCCAACATTTACCAACACTGGCCGAAAGCCAAATCGCTGCGGCCAATTAACATTGCGCTTGGGCCAACCAGAACCCGTTCGCGTTGGGTAGATGCATAGATAAGCGGCCACAGCCTCGATAACGCTCCGGCTGGAAGATCGGCAAGATAAAGCGCGCCACGAATTATGAGCGCAACGCAAAAATTGTCACATAAATCAGCGTGGCCGAGACCGAGACCAAAACCAAGGCCAAGGCAGTAGCTGCGGTAGTAGCTGAGGCGGTAGCAGAGGTAGTAGCTGAGGTAGTAGCTGAGGTAGCCCGCCGATCGAAGTGAGGCCTAATGTTTCCGGCTTATGGAGCTGGGACAATGCCTTATCTAGCGACTGGCCAACAGCTGCAGCACTAGCCACACACACACACACACACACACACACACACAGGCAGACAGACAGACCGACACAGAGACACACACGTAGGCGGCATTTTGGGTGGGTCGAAGTTTAGCCCGCAGCAGCAGGTGCCACACACATGCAGCTCGCCTTTCAACTTGAAAGCGATTAATAGCTGGCCAGCTGAGTTGAGCTGAGCTGAGCTGAGTTGGGGCCAAACCCGAAGCGAGTCGAGTCGCGTCTGGCGCCTAGGCCACCTGAACCACGCCCCCCCTCCCTCCCCTCTGCCAGTGCCCGGGCGCGCCTTTGTCTATGCAAACATAGCGAATACACACAATGAAGCTGCCTGCCGATAAAAATCCTCACCTCAAGCGCTCAGCCAACGCCGCCGCCTCCCTCACGCGCTCCCACGCTGCCTCCTCTCTGCCGCCCACTGTCTAGCGCTAGACGCTCTGCATATGCGTTGACCATGCCCGAGCCGTGTCTGTGTGTGTGTGTGTGTGTGTGTGTAATGCGATAAAAAGTTATATGGAACTGGAAACAGAACACAGAAAAAAAGAATACATCACACACAGACAGCGCAACAGAGGCAAACAGAGCGAGAGAGAGAGAGAGAGAGCAGGAGAGAGTGGGAGAGAGAGAGAGAGCTGGTAGGAAAAAAAATCTTTTAGGTTCGACATTTGACTGCCTCGGTCTGGTCAGAGGTAAAGGCAAAGCCAAAACCATGACCAGAGCCTGCTCTGCAACAGCCTCGAGAGGCGAATCAACAACAACAACAACAACAACAACAAGCGAAACAACAAGAACAAGAGACAGAGCAACGCGCATCCAATCAGCAGGCATATGCTAACGGCACGGGGTGTGGCCAACAATTTGGCCACCCTCTAAAAAAGGGGTTAAGGGCTTCGCACTCCCACCAGACAGACGCCCGCATTCGGATTCGCATCCGCTGCCTCAGCCTCGGCCTCATCCACCCCATGTGAGAGTTCGCCCACGCCGCATGCAGCTGGATGATTGACAACTGCAGCAGGACACAGCACAAGGCGAGCTCAGCCCGGTCATGTTAAGGATATGTCTACATATAGCTATACATAGATATAGATATATTTGATAAACATTCAAATAATTATGGTTACAGCTAAGACTTGCTCCAGTTCAGATCTAGTATTCTAGTCTATGCAGCTCATTCATGGCATGGATAGATCTACATAGATAGCTATAGATAGATATAGATGTATATACTCGATAAGCACTCAAATATTGAGACAGACTTGCTCCAGTTCAGATCTAGTATTCTAGGCTATTCAGCTTAATCATAGCTTGGATGAAAATATAGATAGATAGATATAGATATAGATATAGATATATATACTCATTAAGCACTCAAATATTGATAGAGCTCATATTCTGATCTATTTAGTCTTCTCACTACTCTCCTATAAGTCCATAATCGTAATCATTATGGCTCATATTACTTGTCCCATCATCTAGTTCTTCCTATTTGCTTAATATGTTAACGCTTTATAGATCTATTCTAAATATTTCAGCGCATTCTAGTTTTATCGTCTTAGATATATGTACTAGAGCTTATCACAACTCTCTCTTGTATCATATGATTCTCTAAACAAGCTTACATCATTCCACTTTCAATATTCCGTTCCATTCCATTTCATTCCATACGTGACTTCAGCTCAACAGCAATTTGATATCATTGCATTCCATTCACAGTCCATTTTCATCCTAAGCCCCATGTCATTTCATTCTATTACTCTAGATATATGAAAATGCCAATACCATTCCGGTTTGTTCCAAATACCACCCTATTACATTCATTCATATAACTTAGAATAAAAGAAAATACCATTGTCAATTGTTCCCATCCCGAAAACTCAATCATTTATATTAATATAAATATTCCATACCACTTCGTTTCAAATGCCTTTCCATTTGGTTTCAAATACCATACCATTCCTTTCCCTATACAATTTTATTTCAAATACCACTTCAATGCATTTCACATCCAATTCCGTTTCATTCCAAATACCACTAAGCTTTAAATATATTTTATTTAGTGTTCCATTTCACTGAAAGTACCATAATACTCCATACAATATAATTTCAACAATCATTCCATATCATACTATTATATTCCATATCATGGTTTATTTTTCTGTACGATTCCACTAAAAAAAAAAAATAATAATAATATACCATTTCATTTCAAATTGCTTACCACATACCCTTCTGTTCCATTTCGTCGTGTCGCTCCATTCCAAACTCCTTTAGAGTCCATTTCACTGAAAATAATACCTAAAATCCCCATTCCATTTCGTTCCATCCCAGATTTTCAATAAAAATGCCAAGTATAAATTTATAATTTTGATTTTTATTTATTATTATTATTTGTTGTGTAAAGTACTAATTCCATAAAAGGCTCGTTTCTTATTGATGTCGTACACATTGATCAAAAGCTGAGGACCCAGAACACAACCGAGTTTTAGTTGATAAACAGAAACAAAACCAAACACACACAAAAAGAAGAATCTGAAAATGAAAATAAAGAGTAAACGGAAACGGAAACGGAAACGGAATAAATCTCAGTTCGAATCTCTCGATTGAGTTATGTTTCGAGTAATCGATTTGCTGATTGATTTGATTTGATTTCATTTGATTGATTCGAAGGATTGTGTTTCGGTTCCCGAAAGCAATGTCTACGCTATATAGTAGTATATAGGGTATTATTGTTATTTGCTGTGTCTATATGCCCGAACAACGTTCAATATATCAAATGTCTAGAATAGTTCTATATATGTAGTATTGATTCACTTCATGTTACATTTTTATTAATTTTGTATTCCTCGAACCTATTGCAGATGGTAAATGTGTTTTCTTTTCTTTTTTTTTTTTTTTGTATTTATTTTATTTATTTATTTATTTATTTATTTTTTTTTTTTTTTTTGTATTTATATTTGTTTTCATGTGGGGGTAGCTCGTAGAACTCCGTTCGCCTAGCTTCTCAATTATTGTATATAACATCTAACAGAGTTCTTCTAGATGCGTCTCTTCTAACATCAGCTTTGTTTATATTTTAGTTCATTATCATTACCAGCTGCAGCAACATTATCGTGTATATATTTATCAATATACACATATCTATATATATATATATATATATATATATATATTCGTTTATATAATTATTTTATAGAAATTTCCAACTTGTGAATTTCGTTTGTTTTGTTGCTGCAGTCCCCCTTAAACACATACCCCCACTTTCACACGCCCCCAAGCACACGCACTCACACATTTATAAACTTACAAGCCCGCCCTTTTCCCCTGCCCGGCCCTACTCCAGCTCCATCATCTTCTTCTCCTTGCTCAACTTCATTCAGCACGCACGCCTTCAACTTCTTCTTCTTCTTCTTCTTCTCCTTCTCCTTCGTCGTCGTCGTCGTCGTCGTCGTGTTCATTGTTCGCATTCCCCCATCCCGTTCCGTTCCCTTTCGTTGGCCCGCACCCCCATCCCACAATCGATTGCGCTTCAGTCTTCGACCGCATACTTCTGGGTCCATTCGCGTGCATTGCGTATGGCCTCCGCCTCGTTGACCTTCCACAATTCGGCGACATCGTTGGCCAACGGATCATCCGGATTGGGGGCACTGAGCAGCGCCTGAATGGACAACAGAATCGTGCGTATCTGCAAGGCCGGACTCCACTTGTCCTTCAGCACATCCAGACAGATGCGGCCCAAGCGATCAATGTTCGGATGATAGATCTTGGTGATGAAGCGCACCTTGGGCGCCGACATCGGATAGTCTTCGGGCAGAAACAGCTCCAGCTTAAAGATGCCGCCCTCGAACGGTGAATCGTTCGGCCCGGTGACAATCACATGGAAATAGCGCGCATTATTCTCATCGGGTATGGCATTGATGCCGGGCACCGGCTCCAGCATCAGGCGTTGCGTCTCCTTGATGATGCGGCGTGGCAGACTGGACATGATGTTAGCTCTGCTGTTGTTGTTTCCTCTTGTAAGTCTCTTGCTCTTGCTCTTCTTCTGCTACTGGTGTTGTTGTTGTTGTTGTTGTTGTAGTTGTTGTTGTTTTCTGCAATGGGAGCAAAGTAGCGTGAAAATTGAGAGTTTTACAAAGTTCTAGTTGTTGTTGTTGTTGTTGTTATGGAGTGCCTCAAGGACGCGTCTTTACACTCTCCCTCTCCCTCTCTGTCTCTCTCTCTCTCTCTCTGTGTTTGTCTGTGTGTGTGTTTGGCAGTTGCACGTTTATGCACTCGCTGCCACCTTCATTGACTTTCGCTTTCAGCAAACGGCAAAAAGTTTGCGCTGCTGCATTTTATTGCAGCAGATACAAGATACAAATGAGATGCCACAGATACCAAAGATACAAGCAGCAACTCACTCTCTCACTCTCTCTCTGTGTGTGTGTAGTCTATGTGTGTCTGCTCAGTTCACAAGTCTTAAACAACAATTAAACAACTTAGCGTAAATTTGCATATGCCAGAGCAACAGATTCAACTGTCGCCAGCTTCGTTCGACTGCGCGAATATCAAATACGCTTTAAGCTTTAAGCTCTTACAAGTAATTTAAAAAAAGAGTGAAAATATTTTGCCCTTTGTCCCTTTAATTATTCACGCAGCTCTGCTCTACTGTGTCCTTCGATTTTCGTCTAGAATTTACTGGATACTCACTCGTCTATTGCACACATGGTTAACTGTCAATATTCTTACATGCTTAACTGTCAATAGTTTTATAGTCAGTTATCGCTAGTTAACTATAGTGCTATATCCTCTAATTCCTTATTGACCTATATATTTCAAATTCTTTAATTAATTAACATTCAAACTCATACATATTTGCATAGTAAATTAATGAAAGCTATTTTGACTACAATTAAGATATATACTCTGAAACCTATATACAGCAAATCTAGAGTTATCGACTTGATGGAGTGATGGAAACATAGTGAAGCTCAAGTTTGGGAGTTTCTCATGCAAATGAATGGTTTTAAAGGTTTTAATTTTATAAATATTTTTCAGTTATATCTCTTTATATATAAACATATACAAAGGAAATATGATATAATATATATAAACATATACATATGTACATATGATATGATATATATAAACATATACATTTGTACATATGATATTTAATTATATACAAAAAGTATATTGTCTATATGTGAGAATTTTGGATGTTTGTAAATGCAAGATCTTTCTAGAAATCTTTCAGAACGAGGATTTGGCTTAACTGTATATGCTTTGTATATAATAATTCCCATACAATTCATAAAGAAGCATGAAAAAAAAAATAAAATCGCATACAGTTATACTACATGTGAATTATATTAAATTCAAGCATTTTCTTTATATTCATTAGAAAATGTAATTTGTAAAAAAAAAAAAAAAAAATAAAAAAATAAAAATCTATAAAATATAAACATTTATTTTTATAATAATTTCAATTTTCTGCTTTATTCAAAGAAACCGCCCACGAAGCGTGTCAAACTCTAATTGCTACATAACCTCATTTGACTGACAGCATGTACTCTATACGTGTGTGTGTGTGTGCGTGTATGTGTATGGTTCGATAAACTGCACCGTAATAAAGCAATTGCAAATAAGAAAACAATAACAATAACAAAAGCTGTGCACGAAGCACAACGGAGCGCGCAGCACGCAGCACGCAGCACTTTGTGCAACGCATGGCAGGTGCTAAAATGCAGCACAGCAAATGCCCAAAATATTTGAGAAAATTCCAGAAAGCCGCCAGCGAAAACAACAACAACAACAAAGCACAAGCAAATTATCAGTGGCGCAGGCACGAAACCTAACAACAAAAATAAATATACAAACACATACAACATACATACGTACATACAAATTATAATTTGGTGCTGGCATGCGAATGCTTTGTTTTCCAATGTATATATTTATATTTATTTTAAAATTTATTGATTTCTTGGCGACACACACGCACACAGAAAGACCAGCAGCAAATGCCGCTACACACACACACACACACGCACACATTCAGAGACTAACATGACAAATGTGCGAAGGAGAGAGGGAACAGAGCACTAGATGGCCAAAGGGAACAGAGAGAAAGAGAGAGAGAGAGAGCGAATGGCTAGCGGCAGCATTTGTCACGCACACTGCAGGAATCAAAAAATCAATAACAAAATGAAGCCAACAAAAGCCAAGCAACAATTATTAAATTAAAGAGTGTCCAGCACAGGGCAAATTATCATGCACACACACACACACACACACACACACACACAGACACACATACACATAGCTAAGTGCGAGACAAAGAAAGCCGCGGAAGACATACGCAATACTTTGTTCTTTACATTTTTTCAGCAATTGTAGATTTATGAAGAGAACAATAACTTACCTACTCACACATGCACATGCACATGCACACGCACACACACAGCCGTATGCTGAAGCTAGTGTAATATTTTGAATTCAATGCGTTTTGCACTTTTTATTCACGAGTGCAGTTATTCTTGTTATTATTCTTCTTCTTTTGTAGTGCGCGAAGGGAACCAATAAAATATATTTACAAACAAAAAAAAATGATAGAATGCAACTGCTGAGCAGCCACGAACAAAAATTTATGAATTAGGCACAAACACAAAACAAAAAGTTGCTCACTTTTCGACGTATGCACAATATTATTCTCAACTCACAATTGCTGACTTATTAGTTTACTAAATTGTTTGACAACTGCTTCAAAGATTTCTACTGTTTATTTGCAGCTCCAGCAGCTTCCAGCTCCGTAAAAACTTATGCACGTTGAAAAAAATTTTCTATACGCGCTTTGTGTGTGTTGGTACAAACGTGTGAGGTTTGCGTTCGCATGTATTGTATGCGTGTGAGCCGCTATGTCAGTGGCGTAGGGTTGCCAGGCACTTGGCTGGGCGACGAAACAATTTACAGTGTACAATTACAGCACATTCGTATTTCTTTTACAGCAAAATTAATTTTTACCGATTTTATTGGTAATTGTCAAAGTTAATTGTTGCATTTTTCATGAATAAGCAGCTGTTATATTTTCTGCTATTATATAAATTTGGCTGTTGCGCTGGCAACACTGCTGTCTGCTGGCTGTCAATATATAGTACCTTCGTAGCAGTCAGCTTGTCGACACGCTGTATACTTGAGTTTTGTAGCTACGAGCTTTTATTATGCAGACTGAAATGCTAATTAGACGAGAGCATCGCTTGTTGAATTGGAATTTGATGTGTTCCAATCGGTAGTTTTTTTTTTTTTTTTTTTTTTGCAAGTATTTGTTTTACTTTTAAATTTCATAACACATATTTTAAGCCTATTTTTAAATGCCTTAAAACTATAATAATATGCGATAATATACATAAGTTACAAACAAACGAGAAATTAAATTAATTTTAATTAAATAAATATGCATATATGGAATATTTTTTGATTAGATTTTATATAAATAAATAGTTTATATTTGTTTCCAAAAATATACATAAATATTAGATTTACAAAAACAATTATAAACCTATGTATATCATAATTGTTTGGAAATATTTTAATTAGTAATTAATAAACAGTTTTATTCAGTTTTATATTGAAAAAGTTAACGTATGTAATAAATATAAATAAATTGTAAAAGAAAATCAATTTTAATATACATGTATTGAAAAAGAACATACAGCAATACGAATATGTTTACCAATTGGACTTAGCTGATACGCCAGTTCCAATTGGAGTATGTTTATATGCCAACTAAACTTAACCTCACCCCATATGCAAAGCTAATTTTTCTTTCATTTTTATTATTTTCTTGCATTATCCTTGCCATTGGTTTCTCCTCTTTGTTCTATTATTTTTTTGTACATAAAATACAGCCAAAAAATAGTTTTCGGTCGTTGCTTGACATTTGAGACATTGACGCGAACGTCGCTGTCGACGCAGGCAATTCGTGCTGTTTCAAATTTCGCCTAGCAGCAGCAACAACAATTAGACACACACATACACATGTACGGTCATCTATGTACATGCATCCATACAACATACTCATACACACGCACATACACACGCGCGCCGCTGTGCTCATATGCGATACATATTTACACTGCGTCCCTCTGTTTGGTCATTTGCAATTGAACCAATACAACAACAACAACAGCAGCAGCAACAACAACAACACCAACTGCAACTGCTGACCATACATAGGCGCGCACTCAGCACACGCCCCCGCGCCGCTGCCATAAAAAAAATTGTTTTCTTTTCTTTTACTATTTGATTTTTTTTTTCTTTTCTTTTTTGTTAAAATGAAAAAAAAAAAGTAAAAAACAAAATGTGAAATTGTGTGTAATCAACATTTATGCGTTTTAACGCCCCCCGCTCAGGCCATTGGGCAGTGGAGGAGGGGTTTGGCTTTGGCCTGACACGCACATGCACACACATAGCTGCACGGCTATACAAACACACACAGAAACACACCCATACACCCATACATACGTGCACATGTGCAATGCCCAATGGACGCACAAGCAGTCGCACATACAAAAACGAGCCTCGCAACTAAAGCAAGAACAACAACAGCAATGCCGCTGCCATGTGCATGCACTCTCTCGCACACACATATGTAGATGTACATATATCTATATGTATGTATACGCACACATGGAATCTGCTTTTAGGCTGGGCGACGGCGACTAGTTAGCCAGCGCAAAAACCCAGCCCACTCAACGTACGACTCTCAAAAACACACACACACACACACACAACGCACGCCATGTGAGTGAGCGAGTGCAAGAGTGCAAAACAACGTGTACAAGTGTGATAGAGAGAGAGAGAGAGAGAAAGAGCACGCGCGCATTACATTCGGCTTGCGCTCAGTTGCTGTCTCTGCATGCTGCAACTGCACGCGGCGCTGCTACGCAGCTGTTGGGCGACCTTTATTTGCTCTTGAGTTGCTTTGTGTTTGCTGTTGTTGTTGCTTTTCTTTTATTTTTCTTTCTTTCTTTTTTTTTTTTTTTTTTGTATGCAGCTGCTTTTACTACTTTTTACTACGGCTCCCCAAAGAGCTCAGCTGATTGCACTGCTCTTGTTGTTGCTATTCGTTCGCTTTGGCTGTTATTGTCGCTGCCACTGCTGCCGCTGCTGCTGTCGCTGCCACTGCACGCATTTTAGGCGCAGCGCCGCTGCCGGCGTTACAGTGTTCGCACATTTCTATAAATTTTAATGGCTGACAGTTTTCAATATGGCGCAGTTTACATTGCATTTGTTTTTGTTGCTTTCTGTTGCTGTTGCTGTTGTTGTTGTTGTTGTTGTTTCTTTTAGCTTCTATCTATGAGGGTGGGTTGCCTTTTGCTGTTGCTGTTGTTGTTGCTGCTGTTGTTGCTGCTTTTTGTTGTTAGCTGCAGTTGGACTGAGACTGAGGTTAAGTGGTAGAAAAACTGTTCAAAGTGTAAAATTACATTTTGGTCGCATTACAAGTGGATTTTTGGGCGCTAATACATTGAGGTTATGTTTAAAGTAAAACTTCTCTACTTAGCACGTTCGTTGTTTAGCTTAATTAAACACAAATTCAAGGTGAGAAGCGACTGAGTCATGGATCTATAAGAGTTTAAACGAGTTGGGTTTTATTGAAATGGGGAAATTGCTGAAATCTAATTGGAAATTTGTATATTATTTTATGACCCGGGTTAGAACAGATGGAAATAGTTATATAACAGCATACATAGATATTATATATGCCACATATTTGATATTTTGATCATTTCCATTTCAATGATATTTGTCATTCATATAATTAAACTAGATACTTTTAGAAAATATATACGGGAATATTTCTTGAAAATACCTATAAGTCTATCACCAAAGAATTCTCAACTTATACGAGTTCGTACAGCTGTCATAGTGTACCTTAGGTATAGCTAGGCTTCACTGTACTTTATTTGCTATACAATTTGATTTTATTTTAATTATTTTTTAGATATTTATTCGATAAATGTTGTTTTTTAAATGAAATTTTGATTCATTGTGATGTGAATGTGAATGTGTAAGTTACGCCTATAAAATATAATCGGAAAATTACTTGAAAGAAAACTTAAAAAATCTCGAAATATTTCGATATAACTCCATACTTTATGAGCTAACTTTTTGTAGTAAAATCTCATTGAATTCAATATAACCTCACATATTCGACCATTGAGCGCTACTTAAGTCAACTGAACCCCAATAATCCCACAACAATAATCCTAAACAATACAGTTCAACATAACCTCACAATATATGTAGCTTAATAGAGTTCTTTAAAAGCTAACTTTTTTCTTAAAAAAAACAAAATAACTAAATTGTAATAAAAGACCTCCTCCCTTCTTCGATCATCAAGCGCTCTTATTTCAAACTAACTGCAACATAACCTCACATATTTCATTATAAGCTCACACACTTTAGTAGAATATCAAAGAGTCTCAATATATTCCCATATTCCCAACCTCAGCGTAGTTCTAGATAAATATTCTTATATAGCTCAACATAGAGTCAGATGTTCCAACATAACCTCACATTGGCCAGCATAACCTAATGTAACTCAATATTTTGCTACATCTAGTATCTAATATTGTTCTCTCCCAATATTCTCACAGTTAACTCTAAAGTTTCGACATAAGCTCAAATAATATTGCACATATACCCAGCTAAGATCAGGAGAGATATTTGTATACCTCAATAGCTGTCTCTCTCTCTCTCTCTCTCTCTCTCTCTCTCTCTCTCTCTTTATAGCTGCTATTTACTCTAAATTTTATAGGAAAGTTTATTTAAATTGGGTTACAAGTAGATTTTTAGTTCGACTTCTACTTTTATGAGCTTTCTTTTAACTGAAAGGGGTTTGGGAGTCTGTGTGTGTGTGTGTGTGTGTGAGCAGGGGGGTTGTTTTAGGGTAGCTAGTTTGGGGCATATTTATTGTCTGTGGCGGTGGCTCAAGTAGCGCCATTACTTTGTCCCATTTCAGTTGTTTGTGCCGCATTTGGTTGCATCTGCAGCCTTGAGACAAATATCTCGCCCACATACTCTCTCTCTCCCCGTCCCTCTCTCTCTCTCTCTCTCTCTCTCTCTCTCTGTCTGTCTCGCAGCAGCGCAAAGTTGTTTTTCTCCTAATTTCTGTGGCACTCGCACTTGGCTGGCTGCTTGGGCTGCTTTCGCTTTTTTCACCACAGCGACGACTATGAAAATATTATTTCTTGGCAAGTCCTTGCCAGACCCCCCCCTCTAGCAACCCGCCCCCTGACCCTTGTCGTTGCATCTGAACAGCTTTCATGGCGTCAGTTCATTAACATTGCCTGGCTAACTCCGCTTCGCACTCACTCTGCCTCCCTCTCCCTCTCTCCCTCTCTCGCTCTCCCTCTCTCGCTCTTCCTCTTGCTTCTCACATACCATTTCATTTTTTGGCTGCCCATTCAGCTGTCCACATGCCACACGCATCTAATTAAAATAAATGCAAGCATGTTGCGCGCAACATGTTGCTAAAGGAGCGCGCAACATAAACACACACAGAGCTCGGCTCGGCTCAACTCGACTCGACTTGACTCACTCTCTCACTCTCACTCGCGCTGGCTCTCTCAACTGCAATTGGCCTCTTGCAGTTAAGAGCGCGCCCGAGCGAGTGACGTTGCGAGAGAGACAGAGAGAGAGAGAGCGTAGATGTCGGCGTTGGCGGCGCAGCGACAGCGGCCAAAAACGCAACGAACAAAACGAGCAAAACAAAAAATGCAAAACACAAAAAATGTTTTCAACGCGAAGGGCAAAGCAGTGCGGCCGAGTAGATGGGCCGGCGGGGCCAGAGAGGGGGGCGGGGCTGACAGAGTGGGT